TCTGTGGGTCCCCAAGTGATATCTGGAAAAAAATTCCTTAGCTTTGAAAAAATCATTTTTTAAAAAATCTGTGACCCAAGCATGGAAAAAGACTTGAAATAACGGAAAACTTGACAATAAATTTTTTAACATTGGATTATCTCAAGCATCTATCATCGTTTAGTGTAGGAAAGCAATTTTCACTATGTTCTAAAAAGTTTTCAATATTCCATGAAGCTTCAAATGCAGCCAGGAATTTTGTAACTTCAGGATGAGGACAATTCAGGATCTCCTGCCTGCTTTCAGATGGAAAACAATTTTTCTTCAAATATTCTGACTTGGTCTCCTAGTATACATTGGCCTCAAGTAGCACTAAATTAAGGGCTTTAGTGTGAAAAAAGTTTCTAAGTGGAAACATGTTACCAGAGATCATTTGAAAGAATGTAGTGACACTGAGAAGTATGAAAAATTGTTAGGTTGGTGGACAAACTGGAATTGTCAAAGAGCACCTAGCTGCTTCTCAACATGAAAAGAAAGCCATTCTGGGGAGGGCAAATGAAATCCTCAATAGAGATGATGCCACAGGACTGAAGGAAGAGTACAGTGAGGAAGAGTATATGATGAAAGGTAGTGTTATTAAGTGTTGGATGTTATTTCTGAAGAGGAAAGAAAAAGGTGCCTTGTATGAAATATTGCATGCAGTTGATTTAGTTCTAATGGCAGAAATGATAGCCTATCCTTCTCAATACAGCTTTGGTTGAACTCAATAAGCTAGATTTCAACATATTCAAGCATAATTTTAATGACGCTTTAAACCCTTTCTGGCTAGCAAATGATGCTGTTGAGGACACAAAAAGCTATTTCCCTGCTCTACCATACTTATAATGTAAAAAGGTGTTATCTCCTCAATAGTGTATACGTGATATTGTTACCTCCTTGCTTGATAAATCTTTCAAATAAATATCTGCTAAACATCATCCTCCATAGTCATGAAGAATTCTTGCTCAAATCAAATTAAAAAATTATTCCTGCAATATATCTAGGCTTCTAAATGTTTTGAATAAATCAATGCTAAAAACAACATATTTCCTCTCTCCTCTTTCTGGAAATAGTTTCCTTCTTTCTTTTCGTTCATCTTTTATCTACTAATTTAGTTAACTTAGTTAAGTTGACTGTTAATTATAACAGGGTTCCTATGCGTTCCCTGCGGTATCATCTGGTAATCTTGTGTATTTCTTGTAAAGTTTTTAAAGATAAATTTTGAAGCACAAAAAGAAGTTTGGTAAAAAGTATACATGGTATAAAATTGGCCGATAGACTAAACACAAAGAGGTTCATGGAAAAATTGGGATAGTAGGAAAAAATTGTTTAAAATGTTAGGCATGGAAGTTTCATGTATTAAGAAAAGGTGATGAAAAGTGCGTAAAACAGGCAAAAAAGGTGGTGCAAGAAGAGAGAGAAGAGATTGAGTTGGAAAGAGATTATTTTGAAGGAGTGTCATAAAGTGTGTGTAAACTGTAAGGAATATGAATGACCAAACAAAGGGGAGGTGTTACACCAAGTCATTGAAAGAAAGCAAGTATCCCTTTGAAAAAGGAAACAATTATGACTTAAAATAAATGAATTTTTGATAATGAGGAAGACTCTAGGTAACAAAATGAAGAGGTTTCCATACACTCAACTTACTTGCATGAAAATGCTGGTCCCCATTCACTTAAAAGGTATGCCCCTTGTCCATACTGTCCATCCAAAAATATCAAAAATAAAAAAGCCCCCAGGTGGCTAAATCAAGGATTTACATTATTTCTATTCAATTAGAGACATCAGTTTTCCTTTCAAGCACAGCTAAATCACATGTAATAACCACTTATGTCTTTCGGACCTCCTCTTGATTGTTTTCATCGGTATCGAACAGTCAACATTGGAAAAAACTGGCAAAGCAGTTTGAGAAAGCAAACATATTACACTGTAACTATGCTTTCATGCTTCAACAGATGTTAAGAACAAAATCAAACTGACTTCATTTTTGCAAGACTATTGTTGTACCTCCTTGGATATCTCTTTATATAAATTAAAAGTATATTTTTATATGATAATATTATATGATAAATTATGCAAAGATATTCACCAAATGTTCATAAAGGGTTTCAAAAGGACTTTTATGCTTCTTTATATTATCATACTTATAAGGAATATATCACTTCATAACAGTGCCTTGAATCTCAAAGCTAAAAACGAATATGAAACCCTGTTGATATCATGGAACTACGCAAAATAATATGTAGATTTTTGGAAATCATTAGTCAACATTCTTTATCATATTCGTTATCATAGAGCAAAGAAAATAATAAACATTTGTAAATATCAACAAATAAATATTTAAGAAAATAATATGTGATGGTGATGCTGCTGGCGAACTTCGCCTAGTCTTTGGGTTTACGAACCCCAGTTTGCAGTTTGAGCTTATGGGGTTCCTTTCTTCGCAAAAATTAACCACTTGCATTAAAAATACCCATATACACACAAATGGAAATTAGGCGATACAAATTAGGTTCAAAGACAAGTTTGCAACAAACCGTAGCAATATCGCAGAGATCTTCGTCATGGTGTTGATACGCTGATATCGTCGCGTTTGTGTCCCATTTAACTTGCAACACTTGCAACTTGCAAGCCAAGTCGATGGTCGATGGATACTGCATGGGAACTGCAACATCAACCATAGGCCATGACTTCGTTTCCCGCCGCTTTCGTTAGGTGACGAATATGCAAACGAGGCCACAATTATGTGCCAAGGGTTTAGCTGCATCGCTTGAAATTGGGTTTTGTGATTTGGGCTTCTACTTCTCTTTGATCATAATTTTATATAGAGCCCCAGGAGACCTTTTCCATTAGCTTCCCCGTTCTATTTGTTTTTAGATATAAATTTAAATACGTGTCGTCTTCTACCGTAAATCCTCAAATTGCCCCCCCCCCCTCGAATAAGCACCCACCCTAGGACTACAAATCGTCAATAACCCCCCTCTCGAATAAGCCCCCACTGCTACCGTAAATTTTCGAATTGCACCGCTCAATTTGATGATTTTTGCCATCTGATGTTGCCTATTGTGTTTTATTGAATTACCACGACAAATTCGTACTTTTGGTAGTAATTAATTAAATGCTCATAAAAAATTCCTACTAAAATAAACAAGGTCTTCTTATTGTCTACAATAATTTTATAAGCCCCCTCCTCGTATAAGCCCCCCCCCCTCGAATAAGCCCCGTTCAAAAATATAAAAAATAAATAAGCCCCAAGCGGGGTAATTCGAGGATTTACGGAATGTGTGTCAGATCACTTGTTATTGTTTTACCTCAGTGCTGATAACAAGTCTGTGCTTTCTGCACTACACCAAAATGAGGCAATAGAATCCGCAGGAAAGTTCTGAAACATAGAGTCCCATCGTCCCTTATGAGACGACTCAGTAAGAACGGTTTTTCCAGTTTTTTAGTACTTCATTATGAAATGTCAAATCAACGTACTACAAACACATTCTTTTATGTATCATCTACATGCTTGTATAAAGCCAGTCGGCTATTCTACCATTCTAAAACAGCAACATTACCACAAGCGACTTTTCTTCGTGAAAAACTTAGGCCATCGCCCCTTCTGGGACGACTCAAATTCAGGCATGCAGAAAAGCGCACAACGGAGAAAAACAGGGAATTATCATCTGTCCTCTCTCCTTCGACCTTTATCATCGTCAATATCAAATCAGACTTTTGTTGAACCATTTGTTTTAGAAAAGTCCGTAAACGAAAATTAGGCAAGCTATTGTTTGGGTTTCCACGTTTTTGAGAGAAGAAGAAACACGTTGTGGGGTTTTGTTTTCTTTTAGCTAAGAAATCTGACAGGGGGAATGGCCAAGAAAGTTTAGTTGCAGGGAAAAATAAGCAGATTCGAAGATTTAATGACAACTTTTTCAATTACATTCCGTTTACTTTTAAAAGATTCTCCTAGCTTTTATGAACAAAATGAAACGCCGATAATTAGCAAAAACTACGACTAATGTCGTCTGCAAAATCGTTTCGCGCGCTTTTCTAAAACAGACCCAAACACCTTCATATTTATTTTTATCATTGCACAATCAGAATTCATGAAAAGATCGAATCGTCCCATAAGGGGCGACGTGAATCTACGCTTTATCTAGCGGGCTTGCTTGTATTTATAGAAGCATAAAAAGCAATATAAATTGCTTCACAATGCAGAAAATTGAGAACTTTAATAAATCGAAGTTGTAAACCGATAATAAATAAAAAGAAGAGAAATAGACAGCAGCAGTCAACCAGGCAGAGTCACGTGAAGCGGAAAAACGTCAAAGCAAAGACAACCAAGAGCAGTAAAGAATGGGAAAACTGGTGCTGTACCTGGTGCTATTCTGGTTGAATAACAAGTTTTTATCCCAAAAGTAAAGATTTGGTAGCCATAACCGATAGTTGTTGCTGCACATTTTCATACATCAAGTTTTATGGAAAGAAGGGAAGCGCCGTGAGGAATCGATTTAGAACGAGAACCGACTTTTCTTCTAACTTGTGCACTTTTGTACAAGCAGCAAAACATGTACAGAGGTTTAGGGTGACATTACAGAAGTGGCAACCAGAAACCGAAGCATAAAGACACCTGAAAACAGGTCTGGGTCACAGCACTAATCGGTTATCTAACGAGGCTTTCAAAACGTACCGATCCAAATGCAAGGAGATGATTTTCATGTACCTCTGCTAACAATTTGCAAAAAAATTGTTCGTAGTAAAAATATGAAAATGGCTTTGAAAGCGAACCATTTGAAACATTATTTTCGCCTGACACTCTTCGGAGAAGAAAACGACAGAACATAGATAAAAAACTGTAGGAAATACATGTTGTGGATCAACAAGGGCCGAAGTATTCAAAATCATTATTTGTCATTCACACGTCGCAAATATACAGACGACGGCTTTCCCCCTATGTTACTTTAGCTTTTGAGAGGCAAAGAACGAGATTCTGCTTAAGCATAAAGATGCCATTCAACATGAAAAACTTAAGTGAAAATTTCAACAGCAAAAACCATAGAAAATTACTGTTACAGCCTTGTATAAAATAACAAGACATTTCAAGCTATTTCTTCCTGTATTGTTTTAAAACTTTTAATAAAAAAATTCAATCTTGAGTTTTTTTCTCAATAACGCTTGTTTCTTATGAAGTTGCAATCGACTCCAATCTGAATAGCATTCTGAAAAAAAAATCAAAATATTAAAAAATCTGCTAGAAACTGTATGAAAAATCAAGGCCAATTACTGCAAATTTTTTCTTTATCCTAAAATTCATAAATATATAAACATTTTCAGCAATTAGGTTAAGAAAACTTCATTAAAGCTATGTTATAAAACTATATTATCACTGAAAAGTAACTAATAACAACATTAATTTTTCTTTCTTTCTTCTTGTTTAGTCGCGTGCTGAATGCAAATATTGTAAATAAGTGGAGTAAAAACATCCTTACCTTGACGATTTTAACCTCTGGACTTTTGAAGTAAACTTCGTTGAGATTCGGAAGTGGAAATCCTTTTTCAAAACCACCTACAAAAATAATTCTGAGTTGCAAAACAAAATTTCTATCGTTATGCGAATAACTATTCTGGGAATAAGCATCTAAATTCTTAGGACGAAGTAAGAAGGGGTAAAATAAAGAGAGAAGCGGAGTCAAAATTTGCCCTTACTAAATGAAAAGAACACAAGCCACTTTGTGAATTGTTTATACCCTGTTTATAAGTTAACTCCTCACCCTCATCTTTCGCCGGATATCCGGAAAAAAGTGAAATAGAAGTCAATAGAATACTGTTAAAGTATGCATCTGGATCGTGTTTAGATGTGTGTCTTAAAGGGAGCTTAAGTATCTGCGTGTGACAATTTTAGAAAGCATCCAATCATGATTGATTTATACAAAAGAGAACGTGACTTACGCTTGGCAGCTTTGATTATACTGGCTTTTACTAAACTCTGAATCAATGGCAGTCGAATAGGGATCTGCAAGAAATTGAATACGGTCAATAACGTAATAAAAAGTGTGATTGCATTTGCTAGCTACATGAAAACAAGACACCAAGCATTAAATGGGTATATTCATGTTTTTCTCTGTGGACATTGTCAAGATATCGATCTCTTTTACCCTTTGAGCCACCTCTGAATTGAGTTTGACAATTGTGTTTAATTGACTTCTCACAATTAAAAGTTATACATTTAACCCTATGTATTTACATGCATATCTTAATATTCCGTTCTTTCCGAGAAGGAGTTTCCCCCAACTAATGCGTCACATTCCATTTATACATTGTAGTCGATGTGGCTGATAGAAGATTATCTATGAAGTTGGACGTTTAATATAAACAAGGAATGGGCAAGAGACACATCGTTAATCGGAGGATAGTACAATTGATAACAAATGTAGGGTCACTCACATACAAGTATCGTAAAAGAGTATCTTATGAAAAGGATATCGTAGAAAATAGTTTCCATCTAGAAGATATTCAAAAATATATTACGGATGTCAGTTCATCAATGGGTTCTAATGCCGTACTCGAAACCCAAAGATGCACGGATCGTCAATACAGCGGATCTTGCGTCATATCCTGCCAACAAAGCCCGGGTTGTTATTCAAATTCATATGACACGCAAATTAACAAAACGTAGAAAAACAAGACTTACATTGATCGGCCCAATATTTGACTTTGCGACATTCATCTTAAATCTGAGGGGAAGAATTTAAAAATATTAGAGATAAAGCTCGTTCTTATCCACAACTTGTATAGCATAAAGAATTGGAATCTCCACATAACAGTCCATCGGGGTCGTCTGGATTCAATAATGATTGTTGGCAAGTGTAAATGTACATGTTGTCTGCACCGGGTTATTAGAAGCAGTATGATAAGGCGAAGAGTTGATTCAAATTCATTTATTCAAATGCTTAATATTTCACTATTTATTTTACTCTTTTATCAATAATTTCAAACTGTCCCGAAATCAGGAGTTTGTCACAACATCGCCTTTTAGGGAACCTGGCACTGGACACTGCCCTAAGCAATTTCTCTTGCGCCACCCCTGGTTCACATTTACATAAATCAAGAGTGTATTATACATACGTGAAATCATTCATTTTTCCTTTGATATATTTCTCAGTCACCAGAGGAGTAGCACCCACCTTTACATCCTGGCAGGTTATAAAATACAGTTAATGCAACATAAAGGTGTAGCTTTATAATGTATGCATGGTTGGCCAAAGGAAAATTTCTGTCACAAAAACAAACAAACACGAACGCGTAACAATGGTCTACCAAGAGCTCTCCTTTTTATAGAGAAAACCGTTTATCGTTCGCGGTTCGCCATTCCGCTCAAACTAGCATTGTGGAACCAAGATAGTTTTCTCTGCTATCCAGAAAAGATTTGACCCTGCTTTGAAAGCGAAAGAATTTTGTACTGTCACAGTGTTAAGTAAAATCTCACTGAGTTTGCAGTGAATTTCTGCAAGACTGCTGCCAAACGGGTCAAAACCGGACAATCAAACTGGTATGATCTTTTTTACTTGTTGCACGAGCTTGGGAATAGACAATCAAGATTGTAAAAAATTTCTATTTTTAAAAAGAGCTTACCAGTTGTAGTGAGAAAGCATTGTACACACTGCCATCTTTCTGTACAACTTGGAAGGTTGCCATGCCATACACGTGGAGAAAAACTTCACCAGATTCAATTACAAACTTTGGTGCTTTGTAAGAGTAAAGTGTCATCTGCATTGGCCTCCGTGGAAATCGCCGGTACAGCTGTGAAAAATTCAGCAGATTCAAAGCATGTTGGCTATAGTCAGGATAAGGGGTAGCAGAAGAGAGGAGATACTCTACCCTGGGTACCACAGCAATATAAAGTCAAGCGCTGAAATAGAAGAGAGGAGCCGAGAAGCAAAGGACTCTGCTTTCCCTTGTGGCTCTTCCAATTCTGCGCTAGAGTTTAATTTTGTGGCTCTGGTACACAGGATAGGAGGTACTCAATATCCTCTTAAGAGTATCTTTAGACATACAATGAATCATGGTTGTCCTGTAAGCGTAATATGGGCTGCAGTACATATCTAGCAGTATCACCACATTTCGATCACTTTGTATACCTATAACGTACCTTCAACTGGTTGCAGTTTGTAACTTATTGGAAGAAGCTATTTGGCTTTCGGAAAGTGAAACACACTTTTGAACTCTGAATCACGCATAACCTATGCCGGGGGTGGGATTTGATTTAGCTAGGCTGTTGTCTTAAGGGGCTGGCTTGTTGAGCTGGCTTGTTGAGCTGGCTTGGCTCTTTGGTCAGATCATTTATAGTGCCATTTTCCAATTACGTCGAGGCGAGTTAACTCGCTTTGCCAGGTTACCCGTTTTTCTAATTTTAGTCTTCCAGAAAATCGCATCAACTGAGCCAAAACCGAATTGACCTGGTATACCTGATTCGGTTGTTGGTCACCATTGCATCGCAACGTTTTCGGAAAACGCCTCTACCCTCTCTTCTCGCAGATAGTGTCTATCTTATTTCTCTTCTTTTTAAGTTTTTTATCTTGCTCTTTATATAAGAAGCTGGGTGTGCATAAACATGCAATGCCCAGTTGAGTGTCTCGATAGGCATATATTTACCCTTCCAGGGTGCCGTGCCTAGCATTATTTTTGAAATAGAGTTTGCAAAGCAGAGCTGAAGGCAACTCTTCAATATACTCGCATCTATTTGCGAGCCAGAGCAGAGCTGCAAGACACTAAACCCAATCCTATACTTTTCCAAATTAATCTTCTGGAAATGCCTACATATAACCTGTACTGAAAAGGGTCCATTTTTCTAAACACCATTCTAACAGGGGTACCTCTAAGCTTTCAAAAGATTGGCACTCTTCAGCGAAATGCTTCAGACGATTCCAATCCTTCTGTATGGCTTAAAAGATCTTTAATCTAATCAAAGCAAGTATTCTGCATTTCTCTAAATAATTAACGTTGGCTAGTAGCTCTAACCTAAATACAGGTCAAACAAATTATCATACAGCAATTGCTAGCTACTCCGAGTGGGAAAAGCTATAATTCTACAAGCCGCAAAATACAAAAGCCTGTCAAAAGAATAGAAAGAACTATGCTGCATGGTGGCACAGGCAAAATGTGCTAAGACATTGAGGCTTGAAAAAATGTTTAGTTGAAAAAGAGATATTTAATCGGCAACGAATTTGTCTCTTCTATCTTTTTATTTATTTTTATATGACCTTTTTAGAGCAAGAGAGACCATTGCTTCTTGTCTAAGTATGTCTAAAATGCCTTGACTGTTTCAAATTGTTTCATATCTGAACTTAATGAAGCTACAGTACCTCGGGAATAAGGGCTCTGAACTGACGTGTATCCAAAAATTTCTTGATGAGAGGTGGGACCTAAAAAGCAGAAAAAACATTTGCTAACTCTTTGAATTTGCGAGATATTAGGAATTTATTAAAAAAACTTGGAAAATCCTAGCAGTCTTGTTTATGAGTATTGAAGATAAGCCCAAGTTGCACTCATTAAAGACACAACACACAAAAGATTATCACATTTTATCTTCGTACAAATGAAGGGTAAAAATATTGAAGGGAGTGAACAGATGTCCCGCTACCAGACAGCTCTTTGTTTAAGGGCAAGTTCTTGATGGTATTTTTCAGCAATTTCCAAAAATTCCACCCCCACAAAGTCCCAAGCTTTGATTGTTCTTTTAGACCCGGGTAAATTGCAGTTTAGTGAATGCTGAGCAGTGATGAAAGTTGTGGGTAGAAAACGAATTGTACTTGATAGGCACGACTAGCACCTTCGCAATATCAGCGCCCTTGCTTGAATACAGTCAGTTTGGTAAGCTATGTTTTAATGATCAAACTTACATTACTTTTCCTTGTTATTTTCATAACCAAAAAGCCGGCATCATGATAAACTTCACCAGCAGTGTTAAAACTGTAGTCTGTCAGCCATAAATACAACATTTTAGAATTGTCCACAGCTGTTGTAAAACTGGGGATTGGAAGAGAGCTATGGTGACTTGGATTCTTCTTCTGAAAGAACTCGCCCTAAAAATCACATATGGATCATTGTTAAAATATACATAACATATACATCATCTGGTCAATTGATATTCATGGGAAATGTTTAAAATTCTAGGGATGTCATGAAAGGTTCCCTCTAAACACTTTTAATTTTGTTCACAGGCAGTATCTCTTCACTTTTTGGTTGGGCGGAATCTCTAAATCCACTTCTAGGAAGTGCCCTTTGGATGTCTATTAAGCAAATTCCAAGAAACCTCGCCAATTAGTAGTAAGAAATAAATAACTATTATTGGCATGGATGCCTGCAGAAGATATTCTAACCGCATTACATAAAGTGTTGGGTGTTCATCCGGATTTAGACCTGATAAGTGCAGAAAAAAATGGTATCACGTGGTATCATGAAGTGGCACAACTCCAGGTGAGAGGCACTTTTCAAACATCTAAGACACATATACCTCCTCTGAAATTCTACATAAAATGATAAACATGATAATCACTGCTTACCGGTCCGCTGCCGCACAGGCTGATGCATAGAACAGAGCAAGGTCAGAGGAAGGTTTCGAAATTTGGGAGGCTATGATTTTCGCCATTATAAAGAACATAGAGGCTAGTGAATCTTAACAAGTTCGTGGGGGGGGGGGGCTCCAGCCCTTTAGCCTCCCTCCCCGCCATCTAGGCACTTGGAACAAAACATTTGTAAGTTGAAACGTAAAATAAAAGCATAAACTAAAAAACAAATATTTACCCTTAAGAATAAATCCATAAATATTATCAAAAATATTTACCCTTAAAAATATATCCATAAATGAATGTCCATAGTAAGGTGATGCTGACAAAGTGTAATCGATAATTGCCCATTCGTCAATTACTTTCCGCACTAAAAGAAATATAGATATTAGTTATATAGATATTAAAACAAGGATACGCACGGTTGAATCACTAGAAGGACTGAATCATTAAAACAAGGAAAAGTTATATGAAGACGATGCTTTGCTTTGCATCGTAAGCTCGCGTTTAATGCTTTAGCAAAATTGCTTGACAAAAAACATTCAAACCCCGCAAGGTTCTTATAACTGTGCAATATCCAGACTGCAAACATTCAGAAGCGTAAGGAGAAATAAAGGAACAAAGGCCTACTGTAGATTTCATCTCGAATTGTGCGAAATGTTTCTAGCTATATTTCAAACTATGGAATTTAACAATTTACAAATACATGCATCACTCAATAAAATAAAATATTGTTTAAATTTATAGCATTTTATATATTCAAATATTAAACTATGATACTATAATTTGCCTTCATTCAAGTTTCATTGGGGACAGTAGAGGAACCAAACATGAACAGCGCTTTGCAATTATTCATATTCTCTTGTGTTCTTACAGTTTTAATTTCACGAAGCCAAAAATGTTCTACTTACTCTTGAACACTATAAAAGGAGCACTTTCCACGCTGTTATTGTATTTTAGAAATTCTAGAATATTCTTCATAAGTTTGCATATTAGGTAAAGTCTAGTCACCGTGTCATGTTTTCTAGAGCTTTCGAAACGAAAAATATAATGCCAAGGTGGAAATCGCAGCAGCGATTTGTTGTGATTGGCGTAGATATCGCACATGAATATTAACAAACTGTAAAATCCCTGGCTTTTATATCGTTTTCATCGGCTTAGTGTATTTGTGAATACATTAAGTATTGGCCTAAGTGAACACATCAGTGAACTTGTGAACGTTTGAAGCATGGGCCTAAGTGGATACGGCTTATCTTCGAATTATATCAGTATGAAACCTCCAAGGTCTAATTTTGATAATGAAATTACTAAGTTTATCTAAATCAAAGTATTATCTGCTTACCTGGAAACTCGTTCATCTCTTGCCTTGTCCTTGTGTTGATTGAATCTTTTGCAGACTTACACATCTACATGAAAAATACCCATGATAAATGATAGTTTTAGTTTTTTTGCTTTTATGGGGAGGGGGGAGGGGCTCTCTCGATTAGTCTATCTATATAGAGAGCTCCTCCTTAATCAATCTATCTTATATACAATCATGTTATGTCTGTTTATTTATTTAGTTGTAAGCATCGTTGTATTTAATTTTAGCGTCGTATTTCATTTAATTGTATTGTAGTTGTGACGAATTGTATGTAGGATGGATTGATAATTATATGAAACTTGAAAAACTTGAAACTTAAGTGTATTATATGGTGGGACTATCAACCAAAAATAGAGTTTACATCCGCATATAAATATTTTCTCAGCTAAGTCTACTGGGTTATCAGCAAATCAGTTAGTAACTTTTAGTATTTTAGGGTATAGATTCTTATGAAATTGGTGCTTTATAATTGCTCTTGGAAGTTATATGGTATTTAAACAATTGTATGGTTTCAAATCTCCAGTCCTAATTAATTGATTTACTGATTGAATTATATGTACTACTGATATCTTTATTACAAAAAGTAAAATGAAATAATCCTTGACCAATCAAATATCAAACTTTTTTGAAAATTAGCAATATCAAAATCGCAAAAAGCTCTTTTGGTGTGCAGGTTCTTAAAGAAGTAGGTCCTTATAAACTGGTTTTCACTTTAATATTTTTCCTTGAAAAACACAACGTAGATGAACACAACAGCAGGGGCTGAATTCCGTATGAAAATTCTAGCGGATCTGGAAACTAACCCTAGAAGTACCTCTAGCAAAACAGAGAATGTCATACTTGATGACTTTTCTGGACAAATAGAGTTTGCAGTGGGATATAGCATTAATTTCTAGAATTTATCTTAAAAATTAAGAGTTTAAAAACTATGGTACTCTCTTTCCTCCATTTCTTTCCAGAAATCAAATACAAAATAGCAAGCTTCTTACAAAGAAAGTGAACGTTTGATCTTCACAATACAATGTGAAGATGGCATGAAGTAGCGGTAACATTGCATACTGCAGTACTTTTCGTCCGGCGCACTTCAAAGAATAAGCGTTGAATAGTGGACGAAAGTTTCACATCCCAGTGCTCATTGAAAAACTCGTGCAATTCTATTGCTAAAGATTTTCTTATTATTCTTTTCTTATTTCTTTTTAAAGAAAAGTTATTTTGCAACCTGGAAAATGGCAAAATCGCGAATATCCGTTTATGAGCGCATGCGCTTTTAAGCAGTGTATTAGGATACTTTTAAATACCTAAAGATTTCAAAAACGAATTATGAACAATTCAAAATTGGGTTCTGCAAAATAACAGGTAACCAATAAATGCAGAAATAAATTATTGCATCTTTTAGGCTTTTGGGAAAATCATGAATAAGTTACCTTGAGACAATATCAGTGAATATTATAGAAATTCTTTAAGTTGAATATCTCACCAAATCAGCAAGTTCCCCCCTCAATTTATCTTCAATCACAGACGAAAACAGATTGTACAGCCAGCTAGAAATAATAAATGGGAATGTCTGTTGAAAGGATGAAAGTCGGCGACGATATAATTTACGGTTTTAATTTGCA